GTAAGGTTCTATAATGTCAGTTAAGTCTCTTTGATTCAGTGTGTCATTCAGTGCCATAATATGTTTATTAATGTTTTGTTTGGAAGATCTGTCCATTTTTGACAGTGGGGTGTTGAAAATCCCCTACTATCAGTGTGTTGCTGTCTATATCTTTTTTGAAGTCATCCAACAATTTCCTTATAAACTTGGGGGCTCCTATATTGGGAGCATATAAGTTTACAATGTTGATGTCTTCTTGATAGATTCTTCCTTTAACTAGTATAAAGTGCCCCTCTGGGTCTCTCTTTATGGCCTTTGCTTGAAATCTACTTTGTCTGTTAGAAGTATGGCAATCCTGGCCTTTTTCTCATGCCCATTTGCTTGGAATAGGTTTTTCCATCCCTTTACTTTCAATCTGTGTAGGTCTCTTGCTCTGAGGTGGGTCTCTTGTAGGCAGCATATGTGTGGGTCATGTTTTCTTATCCATTCAGCTACCCTGTGTCTTTTGATTGGGGCATTTAGTCCATTCACATTGAGAGATATTATTGATAGAAAGTTACTCATCTTTTCTCTTTGTACTTGTGTTCCTCTCTGTCTCATTTTTTTCCTTCATCTGCTTAAACCAGTCCCCTTAGCATATCTTGGAGTGCTGGTTTGGTAGAGATGTATTCTTTTAGTCTTCTCTTGTCTGGGAAACTCCGTATTTCCGCTTCTATTTTAATGGAGAGCCTAGCTGGGTAGAGCAGCCTTGGCTGTAGGCCCTTGCTTTTCATGGCTTGGAATATTTGTTGCCATTCCCTTCTGGCTTGTAGTGTTTCTGTTGAGAAGTCAGCTCCTAGGCGTATTGGGGCCCCCTTGTATGTTACTTTCTCCTTCTCCCTTGCTGCCTTGAGGATTCTCTCTTTGTCTTTGACATTTGCCATTTTAATGATGATGTGTCTTGGAGTGGACTTCCTTGGGTCCCTCTTGAGTGGGGTCCTCTGTGCCACCTGGATCCATGAGAGCCTTTCTCTCCTCAAATTAGGGAAATTTTCCATCATTACTTTTTCGAGGATATTCTCTATCCCTTGCTCCTCTTCTTCTCCTTCTGGTACCCCTATTATACGGATATTTTTGCATTTTAGGTTGTCCTGCATTTCCCTAAATGCCTCTTCATTCTTTGTGAGTCTTTTTTCCATTTCTTGTTCTTTCTGGGAGCTTCTTTCTACCTTCTCCTACATCTCACTGATTCGATCCCCGGCTTCATCCAACCTGCTTTGAATTCCTTCTACTGTGTTCTTCAATTCAGAAACGGTATTCTTCATATCCTCTTGTGTCTTCTTGATAGTTTCTATGTCCTTTTCCAGGCTGATATAGTTTGCTGTAAGATCCTGATAGTTTCTCTGCAGTTTCTCATAGTTCTCTTTGAGCTGGCTAAGCTCATTGAGCTTCCTTAGAACCATTGTTTTGAATTCAGTATCTGATAGTTCCCTTGCCTCTATTTCATTTAGCTCTGTCTGTGGGCAGTCTCCTTTTCCACTCATTTGGGGGGAACTTCTTTTTCTTCCCATTTTTGTGAGAGTCTGTTAAGTATTTTTGTCTTTACTTTTCTTTCTGGGCCTGCCAGAAACAGTAAGGTTCAGTTGTTGACCCTATAGGTCCTTGGGTTGTTTGTTTGAGCCTTTCAGGAGTCTAATGCCTGTGTCTGACTCCTGCTTGGAGCAGCTCTGTGACCCCTTCGGTCAGGGCTGGGCTATTTTTTGGGATCTCTCTGCACTCTCACGTGGGGTCCTTGAGTGTGCTCCCAGCGCGGCAGGGTCCCCCGCCTCCCTGGGCTCGCATGTGCTTGCCCCAGACCAGGGGGCTTATTCTCGACTTCTCGTACTCATCTGGCCCCGCTGGCCTGCCAGCTCCCCAGCACTGGTCAGTTTAGGGTCTTCTATTGCATAGAGTCCCCACTTTTGGCTCTTTGGGTGCGTTGCTTGCCTTCGCCAATTGGGGAATACGGAAATGGGAGGAAGTCAGCTCTAGGACTCTCTGGTTAATCCTGTCTCTGGTCTCTCCTCTGGGCATTCTGGGCAGCTCTACTATTTTTGTGGGCTGCTCCGCAATCACGGGCGGGAGGTCAATTTACGCCTGCCCTTGCTGCTCTCTGCACTCCCTCGCAGGCCTTATCGGTGCCTGTCTGTGGGAGGCCTTGCCAGCCGGTGCAAGCGTTCGCCAGTCCGCGTGGTGCAAGCGTTGGCCAGTCCGCGCGGGTCACACACACGCTCGCCAGCCCTCGCGGGTGACTTGGCGCAAGTGTGCGCGACTGCTCTAGGGGTATTGGGGGTGTCTGTGTGTGCTTTTCAGCAATTGGCTCTTTGGGGATGTGGCCTCTTCCCGTGCAATGGAGACTACGACAAGGAGAAGGAGTCGGACTCCCCGGTTACTCCTCACGTTCTTTCCCCAACGCCTCCGTTTCTAGTCTCTCCTCAGGGGTCTCTGGGCAGTTCTGTGACCCCTTTGGCCAAGGATCCACCCCCTGTGCGGACTGCATTTCAATCGCAGGCAGTCTGTTTCATGCGTGCCCCGCTTCTGCCTCTTTGGGGTCGCGCCTTTCCAGCCCACAGTGGAGACTACAGAACGGGGAGGGAGTCGGGACTCCCCAGTTCCTCTTCCAGTTCTTTCCCCAACACCTCCGTCTCCAGTCTCTCCTCAAGGCTCTCCCAGCCAGTCTGCACTCAGCCCCGTAGCTCACACGCATACAAGCTGTGTGCGGAGCGCACAAAAGGCAGGTTGATTGATTCCCTTATGCCAGAGCGAGATGGTATCTGCAGAGTGGGAGGCGCGCCATCACCTGGGCTCCACCGGCCGCCGTGTCAGTTCTCTTCACAAAGTTTTCCTCACCAGTCTTTTCCCAGGCACCAGCCCACCCTGCTGCCGCCTCTACCCAGCGATCAAGGAGGGTGGCTGCCGCTGCAACTTTTGCGTTTGCCCTTTAAATGTCTTTTTGCATCCCCAGCCACCTGTCTGTGGCAGAGAGCACCCCTAAGCTTTTTGGGGTTGCGTTTTGTCTGTATTTTCTCGGCTTTAGCTGCTGTAGTTTAGGGGTTCCTGTTTATGATTCAGACCCCGTTCTTCTCGGGGGGACACTAACTGGCCGTTTCAATGTCCCTCTGGTGCCAGTGCCCGTGCGCACCCAGCCCACCCTCTCGAGCCTCCACCACAATTCTCACCCGTTGGGATGTGTGAGAGTAGAATCCACTGTCCGCGGCACCGAGGCTCCTCTCCCACTATCGCTCCACTGCTTTCCAGGTGATTACTCCATTATTTAGTTGCAGTTCCAGTTTGGTTTTGGGAGGAGATCAGCGTGACTCCCATTCACTCCTCCGCCATCTTCTCTCCACCGAACAATTATGTTTTTCTTCCAACATATCCAAACAGCAGGCTTGAAATAACATAAAGCCTAGTTATGTACAGAAGCAACTACAATCATTTTCTTTTTTGCAAGTACTTTATAATTGGTCTCTTGTTTGATAGTGAGCCAGTAAAGCACTTGAACTGGTCAGTCATCTTATTAAATGTTTAATATTTATAAGTAACATCTTTTTTCTTAAGCTCTTGTCATTAACATTTTTTAATTTTACTTCTCAGTGAAAAGTGACTATGCCTATGTTTTTACTGTGACACCTGTATTAGAGCATTTTTCCACAGGAGGAAGGCAACTATCCCCATAACTTAAAGCGTTTTGCAGTGTGAAACTATTACAGTCTTCATCATTGCCTTTGAGTTCTCCTCTCCCTGTTGAAGATACTTTCCTAGTAAAAAATATGTATCATCTAAGCACTTTTCTTAATTTTAGTAGAAACATGTGGTCTTAAGAAAGTTGGTTGTTCACCTAAATTCATTTTGCTGGTACATAGTTCATACATGATAAAGTAGTCTTTTTCTTTTGAAGACTGATTTGCTGGAGGTTGCTCTGTGGCCAAGAGGTTTTCCCCATTATGTGATATAGCCCCAGTTTCCCTTCTGTTTGTTCAGTGAAGAATTTCAAGACATGTTGTTTTATCTCTTGTTATACATGTGCTGTGGCATCTTTTTAGTACCAACTCTACCAGTTTTTTGTTTGGCAAAAGCTTGGGTATGGAGAGTTGAAGCTGGGAACAAATCTCTGTTTCCCAGGGTAACTTCATATTGGGTCTTGTCACTCTGGTATCCACAAAGAGCTTGAAAATCTGCAAAATTCCAGTTGGGATCAGTGTGTAGTCAGTGCTCTATTTATATCTGCCCTGCTCTGTGCCTTTTACATCATAAACGTGGCACAGTTCCTTCTCTAATGGGAATATTGAGGTTAAGTCTACTTCTTGACAAGATTCCCACGTACATGGATGCAAAATGCTTATGTGAAAGGTGAAAATATGAAGTAAAGGTTAACTTAGTTGTATTGGGCCTAATAGAAAGAGTGTTTGTACAAAAATTGATATCTCTCTCTAAATCTTCTCCTAGGCGGCCTTAAGTTATTTGCTTAACATCTCTGTCCTTCCTTTTCCTGCTGCCTGCTTGCTTTTGCAAAGTTGTTCTTATGTGGATGAAATGAGATTATTGAATTGAAAGGATATAACAACATGAAGCTATACAAAGACAATAATAAGTGCTATTCCTAAATGGACATTACACTTGCCCATAAGGTGAATGAAGAGGAGGTTCTGGCTGGACAGCTGGCCCCCTGAAAGGAAATTCTCATCTTTGCTTTTTTTCCCCTACATTGACCCCTTTAAACTGTCCTAAAAGTCAGCAGTCACTGTCCCTGTGCATGCAAAGTATGTTTTCAGTACTACTAGACTGCCGAGAGGCTGGGGGTGGGACTTGCCTCAAAGGGCTGTGTGGCTTAGTTCCCTAGAAAATCAGCAAAATGTAAAGGAACTTGTAAAAAATAAGTGCTCTGCAGGGTCAGCTGCTTCATTTGGACTCATTGTAGGTCCAGATTTCATATTGGTTCTTTCTAATGGATTGATATGTCAAGTTGACGTTTATACTGCTTTACTGCTCTAACATTGCAGAAAGTAAAGTTATCAGATGAACCTATAGAAGCAAAAGAAGATTACACTAAGTTTAATACTAAAGATTTGAAGACTGAAAAGGTACGTGTGTCCAGATGTAGTGGCATGCTCTTAAGACTCAGTGGGTGTGTTGCCTGGGGACATACAAAAATGATTGCATGCTTGATTGTAATTTTACAGTTTTAACCATGAAGAATTATTAACTTGTGACAAATTGTGAATGACAGTGAAAATGTCACTCTAGGAAGCCTTTAGGAATCAAAGAAAAGCAATATACTTAGCAAGAGTGTGCTTAAACTTTGTCTATGTTCAGAGTGATAGTTTGGGACAGAGGGAGGGAGCTGCCACGGGTAATGTTTTTCCAACTTTGTGGCCCAGAAGCTTCCCAGAAATTATAATTGTTAATAACCCCACAATTTACTAATCACTCCAACAAATAATTTTGTAACATTTCTTACTAAGTTTTATCTTATACATGCATTATAAATTTATATCTGTTTTTAAATTGGCATTGGTGGATGTGTGTGTGTGTGCGGGTGTGTGTGTGGTTCTGCCCTTTTCATCACTATATTGTGAAAATGTTCATATGTCATTGAACATTCTTTGAAAATATATTAACTTTTTATTGTATTCATTCATGTTATTTCACCATATGAAATATAATTTATTGAATCATTCCCTTATTTTTGACACAGCTTAACTTTTGTTTTTATGAAATGATACACATTTATAGTCTGCATCTCTGATTATTTCATTAGACAGAATTTAGAATTAAGAGTAAAAGCTTAGAAAACATGATCTCCTTCCATAATTATTGATATGTACATATAAAATGCTTTCCAGAAATGTAGAAGAAATGTATACTCTCAACCATTATTCTTAGTGAGTATTAATCTTACATCTTTGACAACTTTAGTATTATTTATTCTTCAAAATGTTTGCCTGTGTAATTAGGCTACATTCCTTTAACTGCAGTTAGTTGTTTTTCAAATGCTTATCAGCCATTTGCATTTTGGCAAATTCTCCGTTCATATCTCCTGTTTTTATATTGGGATAGTAATGTTTTTCTTGTTGATTTGTAAGAGCTCATTTTAAAATAAGGATATTAACACTTTTCTTTTTTAAAAAAAGTTTTTTTTATTTCTAGAGAGGGAAAGAGAGGGAGAAAGAGAGGGAGAGGAACATTAGTGTGTGGTTACATTTTATGCACCACCTGCTGGAGACCTGGCCTGCAACCCAAGCATGTGCCCTACACTGGGAATCAAACCGGTGACCATTTGGTTCGCAGGTCAGAGTTCAATCCACTGAATCACACCAGCTAGGGCTGTTAACACTTTTCATGACATACAAGCCACAAAGAATTTTCCAATTTTGTTTAAACTTTTCATTTGATACATTGTTTTAAGTTTTTCTGAGGATTATAGAATTTGTTCTTTTCTCGATTTTCTCATTTTTATGCTTAGAAGGACCTTGCACATCCCAAGATGATTTAATTTCCACTTAGATTTTAACAACATTTACTCCCCTTATAGTTCAAAGTTTTTAAATACATTTCATTCTTTAATCTATATGTAATTTATCTGGGCATGTGATATCAGGAGATAATCCAACTAGAGATGTGACTAAATAGCTAGTTATCTCTATGGTTTCTGTAAGCAGGGGCACTTTTGAGTTTCTCTGTGAGAAGTAATTCTGCCACACCCTTCTAACTGCCCATTATATCTCCTTGGGCACAGCACCATTAAGGTAAGGGGCTGGACCAAGATGTCAGTTAAATGCAGGGGATGACTTACCTCAGAGACTGTCACTGTGAATTATTCATCATGCATGAGGCTGTAATTCCTCCCTCTGACAATTGCTGGCTGTGTCAGTTCCATTGTTTGTGTTATAGCACTTAATGTACACTCCAGGATTATTTCCCCCTAAAGTAAACCCTTGTTTGTAAAATATCCTTTCTTAGAAGGCAGCAATTTGTCTCCTCCCTCTTTTAACATATTTTTGTCTCTTAGGTCTGAATTCTGAATAGAAATCAGAACTTTTTTTAAATAATCACTCCCTAATGAAGCATGTTAGCAAATGTTTACCTCCCTTAAAGAACTTTTGAGACTTGCATGGTCTGGTTTGATTTGCATGTGTGATTTATAAATGTTGCATTTGAAACAAATTTTCTCTTATTTTCATTAACAGAAAAATAGCAAAATGACTGCAGCTCAAAAGGCTTTGGCTAAAGTTGACAAGACTGGAATGAAAAGCATTGATTCCTTTTTTGGGGCAAAACTTTTTTAAAAAATTGGAAAGATTTGGAACTTTGAAAATGAAATCCAGCAAAAATATTTGTCTTTTACATGTTATAGTTTTGTCCTTCCTCCATATCACCGTACTTTCTGACCCTCAGTCACTACTCTTTGGGGAGGGTGGGGAAGGCAGTTTTTAGATTCACTTGAACATTTTGTTATACTTGAATTTTATGTTCCTAAACAAAATATGGGAAAGTAATTGTGTAACTAAATGACTTGTGGACTTTGGAGTCATCTTTGACATACTGAAAAGTAATCAAGTGACTAGAATTAACCTCTAGCATCTCAATTTCCTCAATAAACTGACATGTGACAATATGTGAGTGTATGCGTGTTATTTTGTGCAACCAAATGGTAACTATAGCAATATGGTTTTCAATATGCTGAGAGAGTTTTGACTTCAGTTTTTTTTCTTTTTTATGAATAGATGTTTTGTAGGAAATAGAGAAAAGTATAATAAAAATTGTAGTCTCCCAACTTTTCATTATCCAGAGATAATGTGCATTTTATAATTTTTAAAAAGAATTATAATTTTATAACCTTTTTTTTCTTGACAACATCATTTTGTGAGCATTTATCCAGACAATATACTTTTTTAATGACAATAATTTTTAATTATTTGGATATTATTTAATAACCATGACCCTGTTTTGGGTTAGATTATTTTCAAGTATTCATTATTTGAAGAATCAGATTATATATAAATATTTGTCCACATCTTTTATTCTTTTCTTAGAACGGATCTTTAGATGTAGGCTTTCTGGTTCATAACTAAATTCTCCAAATATATATTTATTGGAATATATTTCACAGAAAGTTTATAATATCTTGCACTCTAACAAATGGTAGCGTGAATTCTTAGTAAATGCCACTATGTTCATTTTAAGTGTTGTGTTTTCAAATAAGTGGGAAAAAGCATTTTATTGTAGTTTTAATTCATATTTTCTGATTAATTGTCGCACTGCACAGCGGCTATAGGGGGCACGCAGCCACAGGGGAGTGCCGCAGAGAGCATAGCGCTCCCTGAAACTTGAGGGAAACCGTCTGGGGCCAGCTAAAGTGGGAGCAGGGCTCTAAAACCTGCAGAGCCCGTCCCGGGTTGTCACGGATGAGGGGGACAAACACAAAACATCTCAAACACTTCTCTGTTTGCCAGGAGAGCAGACGGGGGCACTTCCCTCTTACTAGAGAAGGCCGTGGCACATCCCCCTAATGGGGAAGGCCCCATTGTCCTTTGTGCCAAGGCTTTTATTGAAAATCTTATCAGTGGGGTATGTAACAGGAATGCAAACGTTATCTCATTACATCAGTATGGTAAGTTTCACAGTGAATATATGATGCTTTTAACAAGACAAGTGACAGGAGTACACTGATTTACATGGGTCCAAGAGGAGGCTAGAATCAACAATAGAGACTATAGATACGAGGAAAGTAGACTTAAAGGCACCTTAAAGATATAGGGTAAAATGTGTAAATAAAGCAAATGTCTTAACAAGGTAAGGGATGTAAATAAAGGTCCTTTGCAGCATGAGGTGACCAGAGATTTGAGGGAGGAACAGAGCACACTCCAAAGAATTTACCTTTAGGCCTGATTACCCCAGGACCCGCCAGATCTGAATTAAGGCTGTTTCTCCTGCACTGTTTCAAGCCTGAGCCAGGCAGGAAGGTTGAGCCAAGCCTAACCCAGCCACCAAGGGTTAAGGACACTGCTTCTCAGCTACAATGAGGACTCCGGCCATGTCCAAGCTAAGCCGAGAGGTGCAGGGGCCTTTTTGCCCCTTCTCTGTGTCCCCCAATTTCTGGTCTGCTGCCAATATTGGCCAATACCTGTCTCAGGTCGTATACCTCAGCACGAGGTAACTTACCCGTCTCTGGCCATTGATCATCCATGATAAAGCAGAGAGGCAGGGACTACGCCCCTGCCAGGGGAGGACAGGCCAAGTTTCCTCGGGAACCTGCTTTCCCAGGGCCTCCTGGATATTTCCAGCCTTGGGGCCCTCCAGCTTGTTGGCTGGGTTACAGTCCTCAAACCAGGCCGGGCATTTCCCAACAATTAATGATAACAACAGTAAATGTTTTTTCATGTTTACTGATCATTTATCATCTCATAGAATTATCTGTTTACACCCCTGTATTAAATTGTTGGAGTGCCAGAATTTTTCTGATTGACTCTAAAAGTATCTTGCCAACATAAACATTCAAACCTATAGAGAATTTTTGGTGAGTTAATTGAGCCAAACTGACGACAACGGCCGGGAAGCGATATCTCATCAGATTGAGAAATGCTCAGTTGGATGGCAGTTTAGCACCTTATTGTATGCATTAGAATCAAAGGAAGGATCCATAAGAGGGTTGTAAGAAGTCCATTGTTGATAGATTAGGGAGGCAGGAGAAAGCTAAGTGGGGGATATCTCTAGGGTTGGATAAAAGGTAAAATGATAGACATTTTTTTTACGTAGGTGCAGGTGCGTAAGGGATAGTTAACAGTCAACAATGAACATAACAATAACAGTGATGGGATTGGTGGTCTCAGGGTGTGCCCAAAGGGGTTTGGGAAAAAGAGAAGTTGCTTTGATACTCCAAAGGTGTATTATCATAGATGCAAAAAGACAGTAGACAGGCTCAGTTAAGGTAAAGATTGACCTTTGTTAGGGAAAAACACTGACCTAGGACAGGACTACCCATCATGAACTGCTTTTAGTTAATACCCTATTTTGCCATTTATAATGTGCACTTTTTTGTGTGAATTTTTGAGGGAAAAATAAGGATGTGCATTATCCATGGGTAGTACTAATTCTGTTACCGAACAAATGGACCCATGGGGGAGCATTGCCCAGATGCTATTACTGAAACAACAACCTCCCCTTCCCTGGGGTCCCTCGGTTGTGGGTCCTTTGCCCGCCGCCCTTGGAATTATGACTCTGAATGGCAGAATTTGGTGAAAAGGAAAGGAACTATTTATGCAAAAGTTATACAGGTTTAATTAATGGCTAAATGTCGCTCCTAAATCTCAGAATCCCCTTAAAACAACCACCAGCACACACACAGTCCTGCCTTCCCCACTTTGCCCAACCAGGCCAGTCAGGCCTGTCAGGGATACCATCCTTCAGAAGAAAAAGAACAGAAGTCCAGGGCTCAGCTAGGCAGGCCTCTCGCAGTTTTCAGCACCATCCGCTGCTTTGCCACGATCTCCAGCTCTTAATCCATACCCATGTGGCACATTCTCATGGTGCACTAGCAAGAGTCCTTTCTCCCCTCTTTCTTCCCACGTGGTCTTCACACTGTTCCTGAGTCCGTGTCTCTTTGTCTCTCCTACAGGCCCCTGTCTCTCCTTCCTCTCCCAGTTACATTCTGCATTAAGTCTTTCAAACCTTCCTGATTAGCCTTGGTGATTTGCACAATAACCCTCTTTGCATATGAGGAATGAAACTATCCTGTTATTGACATGTAAAGTGACTCAATGGCCCTGCTCAAGGCTCCCATCACCCATGATGTCCGCCCTGGTGTGGGGAGAACATATTTTTCTTGGACACCCCAATCTCAGGACCCCATCACAAATACCCCCGGGGGTCCTGGCTACACCGCATTACAATTCTGTATATAAATGTTTAAAATTCTTTTATTTACGCTTATGTATTAAAAGTGTAATTCTAGAAAGCAATAGTGATATCCGAATGCAAAATAATACCCTGGAATACAATAATCAGTTTTGTTTCAATAAATAAATAAATAACTGGAATAAGATTTTCTTCCTGAAAGTTTGGGCCAAAAACGGGTGTGTAGTATACACAGAAGCTCATTATACATTGTAAAATACAGTTTTAATTTTAGACCATCTTTTGTGGTTACTTCAGGTCTCTTAAGTTTTTGTAAGGCTGCCTTGCTGGCCTCCCCTGAGTTGGTCTGGTTAATATGTGGCCCCTTTTCTTCCACAATCTTCCAGTGTTATACTTATGTTACTGGACCAGAGCCTGCATCTGAGTAGGTATACGCAGGGCCTGTTGGTAAGGTGTTGGTTCTTGACTTTGTAGGAAAGACTTCACAACACAAGTCCAGGTGACAAGAGTACATTTATTAAAGCCGGGCACAACAAAACAGGAAGGGCTTTGCATAGAAGAAGCAATAGAAGAGCCTATGCTGGGTGCCCTTAGCTCACTGGGAAGTCAGAGAAAAGGGGGCTTTGGAGACAGGTTCAGGGGATTACCTGGGACCAGCTGCCACTGTCCATTGCTCACCTAATTGCAAGTGTCGTGGGGACCTGTAGAGTTTAGAAGACTTAGGCCTGTGGGTGAAGAAGTGGGGTGGGGTAGAAGAAGGGAAATGGAATAGTCCAGGCTGTTCCCCAGAGGGTAACACAGTACTGGATCCTTGGTCTTGAGGATGTTATCTCTTGCAGGCAGGAATCTTAGGGTAGATCTCAGGGGAGGGTTTCAGTAGAATATTCACCATTGTGAGCCCTTTCAAGGCCATGGTCTCCAGTGATTGGTCAGTTAGTTCTGATTATCCCACCTGGTTTTGCTGCTTTTCTAGGCCTTGAACTGAAATACAAATGAGGCCTAGATGTTATCTCTAGGGAGGTGACCATTTTTTTAAATCATATTTATTCTATTACAGTTGTCTCAATTTTTCCCCCTTTTCCCTCCACCTATCCCACCCTGCACCCTGCTCCCACAGTCAGTTCCTACTCTGTTGTGTATGTACATGGGTTATTCATACATGTTCTTTGTTTAGTACCTTCTCCTTTCTACCATTGTCCTCTTTCCCCATCCCCTATGGTCACTTTCAGTCTGCTCCATGTTTCCATGCCTGTGGTTTATTTTGTTCGTTAGTTTATTTTGTTGAATAGATTCTGCTTATAGGTGAGATCATATGGTATTTGTTTTTCACAACTGGCTTATTTCACGTAGCACAGTATTCTCCAGTTCCATTCATGTTGTTGCAAAAAGGAAGAGTTCCTTTTTTTTAAGTGCAGATTTTTTTACTTATTTTGTTATCAAAATCCATTATAAAATATTAAAAAGTTTAAATCCATTATAAAATCTCAGCAATTAAAAAAACATGATACCAGCACAGATAATTAAGTAGATCAATGCAATAAAATGAGCATAGTAGAAACAAATGTATGTATCTGTCCAACAATAATATATGATTAAATTGATATTTCAAATCGAGGGGGAAAATAAGGCTTATTCAACAGATAAGGTGCATGGACCACTATTACTTGAAACAAATATAGAACCCTGTTTCACACATTAGACAAAAAATATTCAGGTGATTTAAAATTCAATATGTAAAGTTTAAGGAGTTTTGGGAGAA